TACATACATTTCTGTTGTTGTTTTTAAAATATTGGAGTAAATGTAATTTCAGAAATGTAGTATGATTATTATATATTATTATAAATTAGCCAATTAAATCACTCAATGTCGTAATTACGTGATGACGTAGACTGCAGGTCAAAGGTCAATTCCAGCTGTCAAGCTGTAGAAACCACCCACAGCGGGTCGGCAAAACGCAAACTCAAAAAGGACAAAGAAGCTACAGACGCCGCTCTGTTACAACAAATACGCTCTATTAAAAAATATTTTCAGTTAAAATCAGGCGGACGCTGTTAAAGATGATAATGATGATGTCACTGTTAGCAGCGGTGGATAGCCCGGATGCTAACGTTAGCCGAAGTTCACAGGAACACTGCGCTCCCACCGAGGCCTCAGAGAGCATCTGTCTGCGGGATGTGTGGACGGGTTTTGCGACTGGAAACATCCACACCGTATTCCTGAACACGAGTGGACCCCGTGTCTTTAGTCCAGGACTAAAACGAGCTAACAACACGGTGACAGACACACTGCTGAACGTGCTGTCACTTGTAGCCGTTGAACCCGAACCGGACCGGAAGCTGGACTTTGACTAGAGAGGACCTGAAGACAGCAGGTGGTTCAGGTAGGATATTTGTCACTGCAGTGTTGTGTAGCTCTGGGCCTGTACTTTATATTATGTTTCTTTAGGTAATTTTAGTTGTTGCAGTTTGTTGTTGGCGGTTTTAGATAAAGTAAAGTGTGTGTGGACTCTTAAAGCTGTGTATACTGTGCTGTACATGACGTGCAGAAGGAAACAGACCCAAAATGGCAGGTATTTAACACGTCAAAATAATAAGTATAATTTCAAAGAATGCATGCTGGCCGCCAGGGACTTTGAGAAACATCCCCCTGCGGAGCCGGAGAGCCACCACCGTTGTAGAGGTGCGCATGCGCGAGTTTCAGAATCATCGTTGTAGACGTGCGCAAGTGCCAGACTCTGAGTTGTTTGTTGTATAGACAGAGGTAGCTAAACACATATTTAGGATCGTTGTTGCAAAAATAATAATAGCCTTGCTTTAATAAATGCTTGTTTAAAAAAGAAATACAAAACATTTCTACTACCTAGCACACTAACTCACTAGCTAACGCTGTCTCCTTATTAGCTCCTTAATCATAAATACAGCCATAAGTATATTTGATTTCCTGTAGATTCTTCACAATAAAAGTCCCCCATTATTTTGTTGTGTAAAAACTTCTATTGTGAAGAAGCAAAATAAGGAAATGCAACTTCACACAAATTCTAATAGAGTGCCGAAGTCACGCCCCTTCCGGTAGAGCTCATGGGACCTTAGATCAGAAAAAATATGAATGGCAGTGAATGGGGAGAGCAATATTATCTTTTGTTCCCGTTTGAGTTGTGACATGAAATCTAAATATGTTGTTAATGAATTTAAAACATAAATTTTAAGGTCAAGAAAGTCATACTTTGTGGTAAAACTGTTGAGATATAAGCTTTTTAATTAGAAAGACTCAAGAGTACACAGGAGGAGGTCGCGTATGTGATGTCATAGCTTTCGCTCGCTTCCTGCAGCTTGGCCTCCCCGCTGAAATTCCACTGTTTTATGATTAATCGATTTATGATTGAAGATGTCTGTGTGTTTTGTGCCAGGTTGCAGTCACTCCAAGCTGCAGGAAGTGAGCGAAAGCTATGACGTCACATATGCGACTGCCTCCTGTGTAGTTTTTCTAATTACGTTTTTTTTTCAAAAGCTTATATCTCAACAGTTTAACCACAAAGTATGACTTTCTTGACCTTAAAATTTATGTTTTAAATTAATTAACGACATATTTGGATTTCATGTCACAACTCAAATGGGACCAAAACTTAATATTTCTTTCCTCATTCACTGCCATTCATATTTTTTCCGATCTAAGGTCCCATGAGCTTCACCGGAAGGGGCGTGACTTCAGCACTCTATACGGCTGATAGTGAATATGAAACAATAAATAGTACATCTAAACTGACAATAGCAACACAAATCAGTGCGGCATAACTTTACTCGACGCGGCCAAGAGTGACAGTGGAAAAAGGGTACTAGTTTCCGCAATAAAATGTTGGTAATATTTCAGTTTGGAATATTTGTTGAAATAAAGAAATTAAGTACATACTGAAGGAATTCTTTCAGAATCTAATGGAATCGACGTTAGCTACCACCTTAGCACATTGTGACAATTAAGCCAGTGAGTTACCATATACTTACAATAAATGCAGTTTTAAGGTACCATTTTATGTTATTTTATGTTTCTTTCCCACTAAATTTCAGACAGAAACATAGGCTACATTTTAGGCCTTGTTTACACAGATACCGATACAAATAAAAACTGATTTTTATTTATCCTGTATAAAAAAATTCCGGGTTTACACGATCAGTTGTGAAAACGATATCCCTGTTTACACGAAAAGTTAGCAGTTAGCATGCCAGGCCAGTAGGTGGCGATACGCCATATGTCAAACACCACAGAAAAACGTTCTGCACGTGCACAGTGATTTGTTTTCCTCTTGGCGCTAGTGATAAAAACAATGATAAACTACATTTTAACCTTATGTAGCATAGTTAGCTGCTATGCACTTACTAATATTGGGCACAGCAGACGTCTTTGTGCGCAGATGTAGTGGTGATGTTGATGCAGCAGTGCTAAGTTCATTTGTAAGCTCGTAAGTAGTCCCAAAAGTGCTAACAAAACGTAAACAACCCAGCATATATCCGCCATTGTTGTTGTGGTTCCCGGGCGCGTAATGGGTATGCGTGAACTGGGTTGCAACGTCATTGTTTTCCAAAATCTCCGTCTATCCTGTTTAAACGTCTCCATAGAAACGGATATTTTTAAAAACTCTCACTTTGGAAGCCGTTTTTGAAAATCGCTGTTTTTGTGGAGAAAAATGCTGGTTACATGTAAATGATGGATGTAAACGCAAAGATAAATACCCGTTTTCAGAAATATACTGAACTGTATAAACAGGCCCTTAGTCACTATTAAAATCCCAGAATATTAAATCAAAGCATGTTTGTGTTTTCCATCTAGTAGAGAAAAAAATACCAGGAGGATAGTTTGTACATGGATAAGACCATTGTGATTTCTTTATTGATTTTTTTTTCTTCTTTTATACATAGAGTGGAACAACATTAATTCTCCAAATATCTCCTTCATGTTTGATCGTTTTATTCCACACCACAAGTTTTCAGTCACTTCTCTTTTTCTGTTCCAACCAAATGTCAAAAAATAAAAAAAAATGCATCATTTGATTTTTGATTACTGTATGAGAACCATGAAAGAAAATGATTTTTAAAAAAGAAAAGAATAGGAAAATGAAAGATAAAAAAAGGGTCAGTCAACAGAAATGAATGAAATATTGATTTGGGGTGTTTTGAGGTTTTTAGCGGGAGAGCGTGTGATTGGATAATTTGGTCAAGATGTTAGGGGAGGAGTTTACATGTTAAGCTCATGAGTACTGTGTTGTGAAGCCTCTGGATGCCCACAGGAACTTATAAAGTGGTCTGATTGTGACTGTTGGAAAACATGGATCTGCCGCTTTGACCTTTGACACCTCACTGTCGTTGCTGATGCTGGAATCAAACTTTTTTTTGTGTGTTTTGTACCTCTGTCTACATGGAAAATGCAGCAAAAAGCAAATATGTTGATTTAATCTGTTTAGTACAGAGCCCCTGAAATCCTTAACAGTGAAACTGATAATAGTGTAAGTTCTTCAGCTGTGATTGAGTTGTCCAAACAGCGGTTTAAAGTAAGCAACTTGTCCGTGTTTACTGTCTTAATCTTTGTGCTAAAACGTAACTGGAACATCTGGAAAAAAACCCTACAAAATAAAAAATACTGTGCAATTTGTAAGCCCATTTTTTACTTTTTAAAATTTACTCAGAAAAACAAGGTTCTATTTTCTAAGTTCAGATGTTTCCAGATGCTCTGACGCCAATTTGGAACGGAAGACAAGTACTGGAAGTGCTCAACATATACTTTTGTTTTCTTTTAACTAACACTGCGTGAACTTTAATACAAACATAAAACACTGATTTATTTTGGCCTTTCAAACTGGAGTTCATATTTATTTGTTTGATACTTCTGTCTCTTTAAACTCTGTTAATCTAGCCAGTAACAAGGTTCTAATGCTGGAATAACTTCAATTGAGATTTCATTTTGTTCATCAGGCCGTTTGTTCTCTCACTCTTGTTGTTCAAAGATGTGACTCAAGCTCAGTTTGGCGACTTGTTTCAGCCTTGATTTCAGACTGCTGCGTGTTTAAATCCAGAGAGAATCATTTATCTGTCCAATTAATACTGACATTTTAACTGAAATGTCTACTGAAACTGAAGAACAACTACCCTGCCTTTCACGTAAGGGTTCATCGTATTAACACTGTAAGGCTATGTGAATTTTTTTCAACACTTTCTCACTCCCAACTTGTCAAATACTGATGCTTAGTCAGTGACCTAGGTGCCCCTTCTGCGTCGGTTTTGGACGTTGAGGGATGGCGGGTCAATTTACAGTTGTTACACGTGATCGTGTCTTTTCAAAGTTAACTTAAAACTAGGGCTGCCCCCTAAAAGTCAGGGGATCAAATCATCAGAATTCCCTCTGTCAACTGGGATTGTTTCAAGTCGAGCAGTCGTTTTATTTGTTGCAAGTCAGTGTGCTGTGCATTGTATTTCTGGGGACATTTTGGTCCAGCCCTTCTTACAACATAGGTAAAAAACTTGGCTTCTACTTCCTTACATTCACACAACAAAACCATGTGGTTAGTTTTCAAAAGGAACATCATGGTTTGGTTTAAAATAATTACGTTTTTTACTAACTTTATGGAACGGTCACAGGACCATCGTAGTCTGCTACACATACCAGCACGCTACGTTGTCATTAAAATAACTCAATGGATGCATGAACAGTGGTCTCCTGTGTGAAAGTCCATAGTTTGTTTGTGATTTGTCTACCCAATGCGGACTTTACTCGCTCATTATACTACTGCAGTTGCTCAGAGTGTCAAAATATGCTGCTGCCTCGTGCGTCTTGTACTGCTACTAAAGGGTGCCTCTGTGCGTCAGTATCTGAAGCTGAGGGCCACTGACCAGGTGTCAGGATTTGACAAGTTGGGAGTAAGACTAGGTTGATTTTTTTTAATTGACAGTTGGTTTAAAATTAATTTCTACTTATTTGCTAACTCGGAAACATTAGATATATGAAAATAAATTAATAAAATTCCTTAAAACGTTTGCATTTGGAAGCTTTTGGAGTGAACCTCGCAAAAATAAATGAAAGTACATCAGACCAAGCTGTGGCCGCTGAACGCCTTCAGTCACTGTCAGTCATCGGCTTTCTTAATTCAGTCAGAAGCATTTTTACATCCCCTGTGTCACGTTGCATTAAACTGTCACCATCACAGGAACGGCTGGTGTCCACATTATCTGACAAATGCACATGTAACCTATCAGGAAAACCTCATGATCCCTTCTCAGTGGAGATGTTGATGCTCCGCCCTCTGAGTTTAAATAGAAACAAGTTTGCTGGGTGTTTTTATCAGCAGGTCAAAGGTCATACTAATGCGAGATGCAACGCAAAGTGGTGTGTGTGTGT